TATTGAAATTATAGAAAATCTCCCGGGAAGAAATATAGATAGAGTTTTTCTCAATAAAGGGAAGATTCGTAGAAAAGGATAAGTTGTTTCGCTAAGGCTGCAATCTTTCTAAAGAAACAAGCGAGAAACTTGACTTTGAGAAAAAAAGGTGCTTGTTGCCGGTAAGTAAGCTTGTTTTATATCAATAAAGGCGAAAGGTTTTTGAATATTATAAAGACGCGTTAGCACTTTCGTTTTGAATAAGTTTAGGCTTAACTAATAAGATAGAAAGGGCTTGTTTGTTAATCAGGGTGCGCTGGTTTGGAACCCTATACAAAACAAAGGGCGTTTCCTTTCAAATGACAACTGCCTCTTCCTGTTGCGAGGGCCTTGCACGAAACCAAACCGCCCCCCGCCCCAATAAAGTACCAGTTGCTTCGCAGCGCGGGTAGCCTACTTAGGTTAGGAGGAAGAACCCCTCAGTTCTTACTAACCTCCGGTGTGTAATCAACATGTTGCTAGCTTCAACTCGGTTGAATAAGAATCATTGATTCTCTCTCCTGTCCATTTCTTATTCATTCAGGGCGCTCGGCCGGTGCTCCTTTCTCAAACCAAAACGACTCTGAACGTTAGGGAAGATAAGACCACCTGAGCGAACCGATCAAAGGGACTTGACTTATCCGAACCGAACGATAGCAGCTTAAAGCTAAGCCTCTCACGAGCAGCGTCGCTTCGCGGGGAGGAGCATCTCAAAGTATGGGGCAAAGGATCAAGCGCTTGGACTTTTTCTCCCGGGATCCACCACAGGTTGGGTTTGAGAGCCGTGTGATGGGTGACTATCCAGCACGGTTCGGAGAGCACTTTTCGTTTTTGTTGGTGAATGTAAGCCCCCCTATCAAGCAAAAAAGAAGCGGCTCTTTCTACGGCGGGGTCACTATTGACTCTATTTATTATTATGGTAAATTTGTGTATCAAGATGTCAATCTGAGATCTTATTTCGGTTCGATACGTCCACCTACGAGACTCACCTTTGGCTTTCGTCTCGGTAGGTGTATTATTCTACATTTTCCTAAAAGAACATTCATTCATTTCTTTCTTCCCCGTCGACCACGACGACTGAAACGACGTGAAAAAACTAGACCCGGAAAGGAGAAGGGCCAGTGGTGGACGACATTCGGGAAAGCCGGGCCGATCGGGTGTCTTCATTCAAGCGACGATACAGAAGAAGAACGAAACGAAGTGAGAGGCCGGGGGGCAAGGAAAAGAGTCGAGTCGATCAGGCTCGACGACCGAAAGAAGCAAAACGAAATCCGCGGTTGGCCGAAAAAAAAACAACGCTATGGATACCATGACCGATCACCATCGATAAAGAAGAATCTTTCGAAATCACTTCGGATCAGCGGGGCCTTCAAGCATCCGAAATACGCCGGGGTTGTAAATGACATAGCGTTCCTGATAGAAAATGACGACTCCTTCAGAAAAACGAAGTTATTCAAGTTCTTTTTCCCAAAGAAGTCCCGCTCCGACGGCCCGACGAGTTATCTACGGACCCTCCCTGCAGTGCGCCCCTCCTTGCATTTTTTTGTCATGCAATACTTTTTTCATACAAAGAACCAAATGAATTTCGACCCCGTCGTAGTTCTCAATCATTTCGTGGCACCGGGCGCGGCTGAACCATCTACGATGGGGAGAGCGAATGCACAGGGAAGAAGCTTACAGAAGAGAATACGTTCTCGTATCGCTTTTTTTGTAGAAAGCAGCGAGAAAAAGTGTTTGGCCGAAGCCAAAAATAGGTTGACCCACTTCATTCGCTTGGCGAATGATCTTCCCTTCGCGGGAACAACTAAAACCACCATCTCGCTCTTTCCATTCTTCGGTGCTACCTTTTTCTTTCTAAGAGACGGGGTTGGGGTGTATAATAACCTTGATGCCCGGGAACAACTACTCAATCAATTAAGGGTCAAATGTTGGAACCTCATGGGTAAGGATAAGGTAATGGAATTGATAGAGAAATTCAAAAACCTAGGTGGGATAGAAGAATTGAGAAAGGTAATAGATATGATGATAGAGATCATACTGAGAAAGAGAGGAATTCCGTACAGGTACAACTCTTATTTTTACGAAGTCAACAAAATGCGATCTTTCTTGTCTAATAGAACAAACACTAAGACCTTAATTGAGTCAGTCAAAATCAAATCTGTTTATCAAAGCGCTTCTCCGATTGCTCAAGACATCTCTTTTCAACTGAAGAACAAAAGAAGATCATTTCATTCCATTTTTGCTAAAATAGTGAAGGAAATTCCAAAAAGGGTGGAGGGAATCCGTATATGTTTTTCCGGTCGATTAAAAGACGCAGCAGAAAAAGCTCAAACTAAATGCTATAAGCATAGAAAAACTTCTCGTAATGTATTTAACCAGAAAATCGATTATGCTCCTGCGGAAGTATCTACTCGTTACGGAATCTCAGGTGTCAAAGTGTGGATTTCATATAGTCAAAAAAAAGGGGGACGTGCTATATCCGAAACGTACGAAATATAGTAAATATCGTAAAGGCAGATGTAGTAGGGGTTGCAAACCGGATGGTACAAAACTGGGTTTTGGAAGATATGGCACTAAAAGTTGTAAAGCTGGTCGTCTTTCATATCGAGCCATTGAAGCAGCGCGTCGGGCTATAATTGGACACTTCCATCGTGCTATGAGCGGACAATTCCGAAGAAATGGTAAGATATGGGTAAGAGTTTTCGCGGATCTCCCTATTACCGGGAAACCTACAGAAGTCAGAATGGGAAGAGGAAAAGGAAATCCTACGGGTTGGATTGCTCGTGTGTCCACGGGACAAATCCCATTTGAAATGGATGGTGTGAGTTTGGCAAATGCTCGACAAGCCGCTACATTAGCGGCTCATAAACCATGTTCGTCAACCAAGTTTGTTCAGTGGTCGTAACGTAATTGGTTAATGGGGAGAAAGCGGGCCGAGAATCTGATGTCAAAAGGACCAAGGATGATCTTTTCGGAAAGGAGGAGTAGGAGGAGTCAGCTTATTCTTCTATAGATACTGTAAAAGCCAACTCATGTTTCCACTCCATTTTCATTACGAAGATGTATCACGTCAAGATCCGTTGCTCAAACCGAATCACGCCAACGTTATGGAAGTTCCTGGATCGTGTGAAATAAGAGTAGTACCAAAGGCACCCTATCATTTTTTAATAAAAAATGGAAAATTGGCTATGGAGATTCCGCGCGGTCAGAAATTCATACAGACACAAAGGGGTTCGAAAGGAAAGTCCTTTCGATCTAATACATTCTTGGGGTCAAATAAAGACAAAGGATATGTAAGTGACCTAGCACGACAAAGCACTCTCCGAGGGCATGGAATGTCTAATTTTTCGGTCAGAATCTCGACAGTAATGTCTCTGTTAGATTTTCCGGTCGAAATACGGAAAAACTCCATTCAATTCTCGATGGAAACGGAGTTTTGCGAATTCTCCCCGGAACTGGAAGATCATTTCGAGATCTTCGAACATATTCGAGGGTTCAATGTGACTATTGTCACTTCGGCCAACACACAAGATGAGACTTTACCACCGTGGAGCGGCTTTTTGCAAAAAGATGAGGGGGAAACTCAGTAAGATGTCGGAGAAGCGAAATAGTAGAGATCACAAACGTAGATTGCTCGCGGCTAAATTTGAATTGAGACGAAAGCTTTATAAAGCCTTTTGTAAAGATCCCGATCTTCCTAGTGATATGCGGGACAAACATCGTTATAAGTTGTCCAAGTTGCCAAGAAATAGTTCCTTTGCACGAGTAAGAAACCGATGTATTTCCACGGGTCGCCCTCGTTCTGTATCTGAGTTCTTTCGAATTTCTCGTATCGTTTTTCGTGGATTAGCATCTCGAGGTTCTTTGATGGGCATAAAGAAATCGTCTTGGTAGCAACCACCAAACCAATAGAACAAAGAAAGGTTAGCTCCGCAGCTGGTCCACAAGCAAGGTAAGTAAGTCCATTACCAGCCGGCTCCGGACCGAAAGAAAAGACCTAACAGAGTAATCCCTTATCTTGGATCGGAGATGCGAACGGGGCGGAAATCGAAGTGGGGGACCTCTCTACCGCTTGTGTCTATTTCCTATCAAGTATGCTCCCCAGACATAGACTACGTACAGGTAGTACTCTTGGAAAGAAAGATATAATGCGTGAACATAACATTAAGTTACGAATGTCACTCCCGACCACTCTTCTAAATATACTAAGGCGGAGAACTCTTGTTCATTGGAGCGCCGTAGTGCGGAGGGATGAACCCATCATGGAAGTCCGAATTGGGACTGAGCCTTCCGAATGATAATGCTTTGTTTCGTTGGAAAAACCAACGCAAATCTCATATTTACTTTCTATCGCCCTACTTCTAAGGATAGATAGAGAGAGTGACTTTATGAAATTCTCTCCCTTATAAAGCAGCGCAAGTCGGCCCCCCCAGAACAAAGCCCCTACTCCCGAGAGGCACGGAGTGACTCGACTAAAAGGAGAGGTCCAAATGGACTTCCGTGAATTACAGTGATCCAGTCTCACGGATATGGAGCCTCGCCGGAGATGGCAGGGCAAAACCTGATGGACCTTTTTTTTTTCTCAAGAGGTTATTTCGAGAATCAACCAACCGACGAGACGAATTCTAGGATGTGTGAAAAGAAAGTCTAACCGGCAAGGCAAGTCCCATGGATAAGCCCAGCCTCCCTCTCGTTTCACTCTCGAGGAACGCCTTTTCAGATGATATGGATCCCAAGAGATGAGCGAGAACCTCAAATTGCTTAAGGATTGCACTCCGCTGTCCCGCTTGGTGGACGAGATCTTCTCTCGGGTCATCCTGGGTTACTGAAGGGTTGTCCGACTGCTCGGTGACCGAATCAGAGAAGTTTTGACCGCTTTCTCTTCTCTACAGCATTCTCGGACTGATCATCCAATCCATCTTGCTGCGACAAAGTAAGCTTAGGAATGAATCTAAGAAATTGAGGTCTCTGCCCGCTTGAAAGATTCTTCTTTCCTCTTCGGTGAAAGAGGGCAAAGGTGTGTAGGAGAAAGAATTCTAAAAACGTCGACGCTTAATTCGCCCCCGAGGAACGCCTTCAAAAGTCAAAGAAAGGCTCAAATATCAATATATATATTTGAGGATATTTTAGGGCCCTAGAACGCAAAAAAAGGTGGGTGAACAAGAGTTGTCACGATAGGAAAGAGAAATGACTATAAGGAACCAACGATTCTCTCTTCTTAAACAACCTATATCCTCCACACTTAATCAGCATTTAGTAGATTATCCAACCCCGAGCAATCTTAGTTATTGGTGGGGGTTCGGTCCGTTAGCTGGTATTTGTTTAGTCATTCAGATAGTGACTGGCGTTTTTTTAGCTATGCATTACACACCTCATGTGGATTTAGCTTTCAACAGCGTAGAACACATTATGAGAGATGTTGAAGGGGGCTGGTTGCTCCGTTATATGCATGCTAATGGGGCAAGTATGTTTCTTATTGTGGTTTACCTTCATATTTTTCGTGGTCTATATCATGCGAGTTATAGCAGTCCTAGGGAATTTGTTTGGTGTCTTGGAGTTGTAATCTTCCTATTAATGATTGTGACAGCTTTTATAGGATATGTACTACCTTGGGGGCAGATGAGCTTTTGGGGAGCTACAGTAATTACAAGCTTAGCTAGCGCCATACCTGTAGTAGGAGATACCATAGTGACTTGGCTTTGGGGTGGTTTCTCCGTGGACAATGCCACCTTAAATCGTTTTTTTAGTCTTCATCATTTACTCCCCTTTATTTTAGTAGGCGCCAGTCTTCTTCATCTGGCCGCATTGCATCAATATGGATCAAATAATCCATTGGGTGTACATTCTGAGATGGATAAAATCGCTTTTTACCCTTATTTTTATGTCAAGGATCTAGTTGGTTGGGTAGCTTTTGCTATTTTTTTTTCTATTTGGATTTTTTATGCTCCTAATGTTTTGGGACATCCCGACAATTATATACCTGCTAATCCGATGTCCACCCCGCCTCATATTGTGCCGGAATGGTATTTCCTACCGATCCATGCCATTCTTCGTAGTATACCTGACAAAGCGGGAGGTGTAGCCGCAATAGCACTCGTTTTTATATGTCTCTTGGCTTTACCTTTTTTTAAAAGTATGTATGTGCGTAGTTCAAGTTTTCGACCGATTCACCAAGGAATGTTTTGGTTGCTTTTGGCGGATTGCTTACTACTAGGTTGGATCGGATGTCAACCTGTGGAAGCACCATTTGTTACTATTGGACAAATTTCTCCTTTGGTTTTCTTCTTGTTCTTTGCCATAACGCCCATTCTGGGACGAGTTGGAAGAGGAATTCCTAATTCTTACACGGATGAGACTGATCACACCTGATCAGTGAAAAATGAAAAATTCTGACACCAATCATTTACATATTACACCAAGAATTGACAAGCGGATCAGTTTTCTAGTTTGCTATGTTGATATAGCTTAGATAGGGAAAAGATAACTCCACTATAGGGTAGGGCTGTACTTCAAAAATCAAAAAGGGGCCCCCTATGCTAAAGAAAGAAAAAAAATAGAGAACTACCTTTACTGCAAGAATATAAATGACTCGCTATTCACTCGAGGTTTCTGGGTCATAATGTAGGAGAGATGGCCGAGTGGTTTAAGGCGTAGCATTGGAACTGCTATGTAGGCTTTTGTTTACCGGGGGTTCGAATCCCTCTCTTTCCGTACCTTTACCTAATTCACCAACGTTACCGACCGCCATGTATAAAATACCAATCGAGACCTCTAAGAGTCAGACCTTTTTTTTATATTCTTTTTTTCTATTTTGTTTTGTACGAAAAAAAAACGGAAAGAGCGGACAACGAATGAAAATCTCTGAACGTGATACGTAAATGGGAGAAAAATATGGATGAAACCCCTTATCTATCTTTCCTTCGGCAAAAAAAGTTGATGAAGCCATCCTCGCCTCGGGGATAAGAGATCTTTCGATTCTGGAGAGTAAGCTTCAAGCTCAAGATCTCATTTGTGATCTTCTTCTTCTCTCATTTGTGATCTTCTTCTTCTCTCATTTGTGATCTTCTTCTTCGCGAACCTAATCTCAAGTGAACATTTCTTATTTCATTCTCAATTTTCATATAAAAATACCTGCTTTTCATTTTATTGAAGAGAAAACCGCCCCCCATTTGAACGAAGTCTCCGGCCTTCCCCGTTATGACTTTAGAGTATCTCTCACGTCTTATAAGTCACTTCAAAATGAATGGGCGGATAGGATAAGGACTACTCCTGCTTGCTCTTGGCCTTGGCTGCTTAGAGACATCCCTTTAGTTCGTCTTAGAGAATGGAATTAGGAATTTGATTTTCGTCTTCTTGTAGGTCGGTCATCTGTTCAATCAGGAATTCCATCTCTTCTTTGCTTTCTGGTACCGGTTTGAGTTCCTTTGTTCAAATAAATATCTACCCATGTCAGGCTTCCCTTCCCGGTAGTACTTCCGTTCTTCTTCTGTCTGAGGCAAAGGCGAATCCCTTATACTGTATACGGTCGAGCTGGCTTGTCTGGTTTGCCCCCTCTATTCTTTTGCTTTGTGCAAGTTGCGGGAATACGTCTGCTTTTGGTCAATATCCCAAGGGAGTGAGCGAGTTGGCGATGGAGGTGGTGGGTGTGCTGAACTTCTTATTCTCAAACAAACTGCTCTGCCTGGACGACGTTTAGACGAAGGCAGGTCTACGTTGTACGATGGCCCTAGTGGACCAGTAGAGAGGTCTCTTTGCTTGCGGGAGACGTATCGACGGAGATTTGTGCTGTGTTGCGAAGACATCATCTGACACTCAGTTTCTGACCTTGTTGGCAAGACTCCTACGATCCACAACTTTCGAGAGATAAGAGGATTGGTGTGCTCAACCCATTGCAATCTAGATCCCATTAGATAGAAAAACTTCTCCATGGCTAGCATCCAACCATCAGAAAAGCCATAGGTGTACTGCAGATGGGACCCACTCAACTAAAGATCAGCCTGAGGAGCACACTCGAACATCCTCTATGGTTGGATACCCAGATAGTCGAGTTTCAGACGACCAACTCCTTCTTTACCGTAGAAAAAGAGAAGAGACTAAAGCAGCGGATCTCATACGAGTTTACCGCCCAGACCGATAGATTTCTCGGCGGCCCTTCCGATACCGTTACAACCCCAGGACTAAAGTTCTGAGTCTCGTACCCTTCTGGGAATCGCTTGCAAGATGTATCGAGAGGAACCCCGGTGTAGGCTAGAAGCTTCATCGAGATAGGAGCGATACTACGAATAAGGTATATGGGGCAGAGTGCCGGACTTACCGAGAAGTTCACTTCAGTAACGGGAAGCCTTCCATTCTTCTTGTTGCCACTCTCTTTTGTTGCTTTGTTTTCCTCACTCTTTTTCTTTCCTCTCCGGGAGCAAGACGAAGCCAAAAGACATAGAGTTCAGCCAGTTCGCTTCGTTGACTAAAGGAGGCTGCAGACCGACAGCATCGGCATCTTGACCTTGCTCGCCGGGAGTTTGTCCTGCCTCTGCAGGATCAAAAGAAGCGAAAGCGATAACTCGACTGAAAAGGAACGAAGTACTCGACTTAAAGGATAGGAGGCAAGGAGAGGCAGTCACAGCAGCCAAGGCAGCTTTGGTTGTTTAGCATCAATCCCTTGACGACGTGTGTACGTACGAAAGAGGGAAACAATAAGAGGAAGAAGAGGGAACTATCGGTAGTCCAGGCATGGGAAGATGGAACAACTGCCCCATTTCCCTTGGACCCATAGAAGGTAGAACGACTCTAATATAAGCTGAACAACGAAGATCTCCCTGTCAGCTGGCATGGCATATACGAAAGGAAGGGATAAATCCGAGGTCTGAACAACAACACCATCAAGCACCATATTCCCATCCAACAAACATATTCTTAAACCCTGACTATCTACTCAAGTCGAGGAGGGAAAAGGTCAGTCAGAACATCATAAGATTTCAATCCAAGAACCTCAGCCTGAAGTACAGACCCATGCACTATATCAGTCGAAAGCCAAGTCAGTCATTCTAGCCCGAGAGGAGCTATAGCTGCTTCTTCATTAAGCGCCTCGAACTATGAAATCACATAAAAAAGAGTGCATAAATTGATGCTTTTCGTCTTCCTTAATCATTGGATTTATGATTTACGTGTTCCTGGTTTAGTCGGAAATGCGGGGAAAGCCGAGTTCTCACTTTTCTATCGTATCGGGCTTGCAGACCTCTTCTTGTTTAAACAGACTAACTAGTTCTAACAACTGAAGGGGAAGCTCCTTCTCTTTAAATTTTAAGTTCCAGGTTGTTTAAGGTCCGGGTAAAGGTCTGATTCAATTGGCTCATCCGAAAAGGAAGCCCACCTATACCCATGGCGAGTAGCCGACCTTAATCCCAAGGCCCCCAGAGGGACAAGATGGATATCGGTTCCCTACCCAGGAGTCTTTCCAAGATCATATCAAGTCGAGAAGGCATAGCATCGAAAGAAGAAAGTCAGTCAAAGCATTCCTCGGAAAGCTGGAAAGACAGCAAACACAGAAGGAAGTCCTACCTATCGACCTCGGGCAACATCTAATATGTACGTGGCATATGGAAGGACAGCAAACACAGAAGGAAGAGGATGTCCGAGCAAGGGGCAGTTTAAGCAACCAGAAAACGAGACAAGCAATATTCTCCTTTCTTATGTGATTTCTTAGTTCGAGGTCGATATCAGCCCTGCAAGGGTCAAGGAATCCAAGAGGAAGAAGACCGATCACTCCCCTTTTCCTCCAATTTCACCTGAAAACCTACCCGGTCAAGTAGTCAGCCCGCCGAGGAAAGCAAAGAAAGGTGAGGAAGGAGTTTAGCAACCAAGATAGGTGTCAATAATGCCTCAATCTCAATAAGAACTATCTCAACTGGAAGTAAATCAGGCCAGGGCTAGTTCTTAGACAGAGGGAAGGCGGAAGTTTCCCTAAAAGGCACCATCCTCAAACAAGTAATCATCCGAGCTCAGTTATTAAACCATAGCCGGGGGAACACCTCTTTCCCCCAAACTATCTATTTCAGACTCCTTACTCTGCTGCAGCTGATGCAGCTGCTGATAGCCTTTGCCCAGAAGCGAAAGAAAGGATCTATCTAACAAGGAGATCCTGTACTCTTTCTTGTTAGCACACTCCTCCATCGGCCGAATGAAAGAACAATCTTCACGGATGACTCCCAATCTGGAAATGACAGAACGAGCCCTATAGGTAGGAGGGCCATTTCGAAAGATGGATAGTAGCGGCAGCTAACCCAACAGAGGAAGAGAGATCAGCTAGTCGCTAACCTACGTGATACTCAAGAGTCGTTAACCTAACTTGAAGGTCCAGTCTAGGCGCCAGAGCCTTATGTGGGAAGTAGCTCACTCACGCGCATACTATTCTATTTAGGCTAGAGCCAAGGAACTCCTAACTATACTCCTGCTCCTATATATATTCTCAGTTCAAGGAACTTCTATTTAAGCTGAAGGGGAATATTCCATGACTCAAGTCTAGGAGGAGAAGCAAACTAAGGAGTTATCCAGCAGTCCTTCAACCAATATAATCTAACAGCTCAATGGAAGCAAGTTAACAGCTCAGATTAAACAATGCGATCAGGAACCATGCGTCAAAGAGGACGAGAACCATGCACAGCAAGCAAGTCTGATAAAAGTCAGCATCCTCCTCACACAAGGAAGGGTGATAAGTGGAGGGCAGTCTTCTCGCACTACGCCTATAATCAAGTTCTCACTCACCCACAGCAGCAAAGCTTAGTTCAGTCGTGTGCTAGGTGCGAAGCGAAACAGAAAGATAGTTTAGCAACCAATTTAAAGATAGGTGCTTTAGCAACCTTAGTCGAGTAGCTACAAGAATCTAACTCCGGAGAATCTTCCTGTTAACAACGTTCTCCAGCAAGGGAAGGAGGCCTTCTTTCTTACGGACGAGCTTTAGAAGTCTAAGCCAATAGACAAATAAGGATTGATTGTTAGAATAGGGATCCTCTCGGTACTCCTAGACTCTAGACTTTCTTTGTTCCTAAACTGAAAGCTGACAACTCTAAAGCCAAGGATACGATAGAAGTGGCTGGCTCATTGCCCGAGGAGGCACAAACATAGGTGCGAAGTCAGATAAGCAGGGTGCCAGGTAAGCAGCTGAAGAAAGAAGTGGTGTATTACAAGGAAACCCAGGTAGCACACCAGATGCAGCTACCAGGATTGGCTTCTTCTCGGAAGATTCGACTGATGTAGGAGTGGCTATCACGCTTGCAGACCTAAAGGCAGAGGAGCTAGCTTCTTAGTCTAGTCGGATATAGCTTCCAGTTCGAGTAGAATACTTAAGCTGAAAGAAATGCCAAAGCAAAGATCAAGAATAATAGGAAGGAATCCCGAGAGTAGTACTGAAAGCTCTCTCCTAGTGTTGCTAATGCCCTCCTAATAGGGGGCAGCTAACCCAAGCAACAGAAAGCCCAATCAACGAGCCCCAAGGCTCAGATGTCGTCAGGATAGCAAGTTGGGTCCTATGACCCCAATTCCGAGTCGAAGCAGCAGTAGAGGAAGAAGCAGTACCATGCGCATATGACCGGCTGAAGCAAAGACCTCCCTTCTACTGAGCACCAAAGATAATACTATTACTATATATCAGGTACCCACACAAGAAAAGAAAGACTAGGCTCCTTATTATACGGAAAACGGTATCCGAGTTCAAAGATTCCCCGTCCAGCCCCAACCCTGAACAAAGAAAGGTGAGGAAGGCGATACATATTCCAAACCCTGAAATCAAAGCCATCGCAAAGAAGCAGCAAGCCCTATGTAAGCTTATATTCTGGGAGAAGGGAGAGCAGCTTTCATTCTTTCGTTAGTTGGTATCGGTCAAATGCACCATGGCAAATCGAATATGGCATCATTAGTGCAAATATGGCTTTACATTCGTGTTTTTAGGCTCTATCTTTTTTACAAAAGGCGGGGTTTTTTTATGCTTTACTAAGTAAATCCCTTTTCTGAGGTCCATGAAAAAGCTAATCTCGTAAGATAGCTGATAAAATATAAGCAGGCAAAAGAGCATGAAAAAGTGACGAAAGTCCGTCTTTTTTCGCGTCAGTTTGATGAATCAGTGCAGTTTCGAAAGCTTGATTAATGTGCTTAACACAGGCATTATGAAAGTAAAAGGGGCCGAAGGCGCCTACTAGGTAGAAGCAGCTAGGTCCGTCAGATCACTGTGAAAGTACCCGATCCTGGCCAAACCTAGAACACCTACGATAAAGCACTGTTACAAGGACCATCTTTTTGGAAAGACCGTTAGACAGTTTCAAGGGCTTAGAGGAAGTTACAAGTCTTAGTCGAGGTAAAGCCCAGTGAAAGGAGTTCTCTCAGCCATGGCTAGTCCTTTACTAACCGAACTTCCTTACCTGTGCCAGGGACTTGGTATCTTCCTATATAGAGTGCCAGTGAGAAGGTAGGGATCTGGTAACTATAAGAGTTCCTTTGCTTTAGACTTGTAACGGTCCATAGGGAAGCTGGGATCGCTCTCTCGTGCCCTTCTGCTCTTGGGAAACCCTGGGTAGCTGCCTTTCCCGACTTGTCAGCTAAAGACTTTATTATGAGTACGTGAGGTCTTTCAAGCCATCTGCTGGAAGCTGGGTCAATGTAACTTGATCCTCCGACCTGGACTAAAAGCTTGAGGAGTGTTAGCCTTCCCTCCTATGCTACTAACAGGAAGAATATGGACTAATCACTAGATTCACTGCTACGGTGCTGCTTATGCCTAGACTTGACCTTTGTTTCGAGATCAGACACATATGCTATGCCTTCATTCGTCCGATTAAACACAGATCTAGTTCCCCATCAAATTCATCGAACGTAAATAGGTCCTGAGCCATGATAAAGTCAAGTACCAAACTCTCGATTAAACCTAATTATATCGCCGATAGGAAGATCTCGTTCGTCTCATAATCGGAGGGAAGAGAGGGACCCAAGCCTACATATCTTTGTCAACAAAGACTCAACTCAGAAAGGGTATTTCAGCACACCTGCTCTTCAAGTCCTGAGTTAGGCTACAAGCCTTCCCATTTCCAAGTGGCATTCTTTCTCGTCAAGGCAAAGGAGAAAGGACAGCCAAGGCGAGAAATGTCCCTGCCCTACGCCCGAAGCCAGGTGGTTCAACGAAACACATTCTCCATTAGATACAAATTTGATCGACTTTATCGAGGTCTACCAAATAGATCACAACCCAAGACAGCAGTTTATACTACTTTGATTTCAATCACACAACCCTTTTTATACGAAATAGAAAAGTTCGAGGAACAGAGGAATTGACGAAAGCCCCAGAGGAGAACTATAGCTACCAGACACTGATCGCCAATCAGAGGAGGAGAAGCCCATGTCCTCACGGAGACGCGGATACGATAGAAGCCCCATCGGAATAGCTAACAACCAAAGTCGAGGTTGAACGCCAAACAAAGGTACGATTGAGAGGAAGGCCCACTCCCACGCTATTAATAGTACAGCTGTCTCAACCAATCCTATGACCCCTAAACAAGAAAGATAGTCGACTATATCAATCATCGGTACCAGTCAGCTCTCTCGGAATGACTAATAACCCCGGAGGAAAGTGAAAAGCTACACCCCTGCGAGGGGATCGATCCTATAGTGATGGAAAAGACACCAACTTCTACTTCTCTTATGTCATTTCTGAGTTCGAGGTCCAGTTCCCAAGGTATTCCCGAAAACCTGGAAATGGAAAGAATAAATCCGATCAAAGAGATTAGGTCTCCTAGCTCGCAGTACGTAAACACACCAAAGTAGCAATCCCAAGAGCACCAAGACTCTTCCCAACACAAAAATCAGTCAGAGGAAGGTCGGTCAAAGAACCTATCCCGAAGGGGAAGTCTGAGGAAGGGGATTCGGATGTTGAGATGCCAGAGGAGTGATGGAATATCCAGCTGCCAGGATAGAGGAATGATGTGAATGAGATGCCTGATAGAGGAGTTCAGTGTATTCGGATGTTGAGATGCGAATCTCCAGTAGAAAGGCTAGCGGATGTTGCTAACGTATAAAGGCTAGCGTGTGCTTGGGTGAGGATCTTCCCCTTCCTACGTTGACTCCTACTATCAGCTACATTCCATCCGCGGAATCTAGTTATTCAATCTATAAGTCTTCTATCCATCCGGGCATCTCGAGGAGGAGCAACAAGGAAACTATGTTAGACGGAAGAGTGTGCTGAATCATATGAACGATCAGATGGGGCTGTTGAATGAACCCTAAGACAGAGGGCATAAACTCTTTCCGGGCGAAGGGAAGGCATAAACAACTCTTTCCTCTTCCGTTAGAACGCCTTGGAGTCTCTGCGTGAAGCAGCTAAAAGGTATCGGAGGAATCTCTAGAACTCTTCCCTTTCTACGTAACTTCTCGTCCTGATAGGTAGCCGGATGCCTAGGTAACCATAGGATTCCCCTTTCTTGAGGACTTAGCTTTAGCTGTTAGAGAAGGGCATGGCTTTAGCAGTTAGCTTCATTCTTATTGGTAGGTTGATGGTAGGTTGGCGGGTTAGCAGCTGTTAGCTGAATTCGGGTTGGCGATTCCGGGAGTTAGCCTCGGCAGTCTTTCTAGTTATTCCGCTTAGGTATGAATGGTAGGGTCCAGGTGAATGGGTAAGGGCCAGGGCATCATACCGATCTTGGTGTCCCGTACATAAGCCTACTTTCTTTGTCTGATCGACAAAAGTGTATTCATGTCTTGGCTATTGGCTTCGGTTTCTAGGGTTTACTCCTTTCCCAATCCGCTGCTTTGGATATAGAGAAGCCGTATGTTCTGCTAATAGAGAAGCCGTATGTTCTGCTAATCGAGTTCCTGGGGTCGGTACTAGTTGATCGGGGTAATCCCCTGCTTTGGATACAGAGAAGTCGTATGTTCTGCTAACGGAGGAAGGAATTCCAAGATAAGATTGTAGTTAAGGCTTTGAGTGGGGTATAGTCAAGGCTTGGAGTGGGAGTTCCCCGGTACTAGTTAGTTGCTCGGTTCATCTCCCATCCGCTGCTGCGAATACGTGCAGCAACAGTAACGGAAGAAAGAGAAGGGCTCCTAAGAAGCCTCATGTGAAGGAGTTTCCGATCAATAGATAAGTAGTAGGAATGGGCTGTGGATGAGCCAGCCTATCAGATAAGTAGCTACTGGGATTCCTTTCCTATAAGAGTCTATTTGGAGTTGTAGCTGTAGATCTCTTCTCTTTATATGAGAAGTCTAGTTCGAATCCTTCTCTCATTGCTTGGGAGTGCATTTCCTTTCGGTCTATGGTTCAAATGCGCGTATCATCTGGCTTGGCTTGCTTGGCTTTCTCTTTAGCTTTAGGAACTGAGCTCTCTAAGAAAGGATCACCTGCTTATATATAGGCTCGCTTTCCTTTTGCAAGCTATTAAGTGCATGACTTTTGAGAACCAAAACCTGGGCCTCCCTTAATTAGCTTGACCGGAACCCCTTCTTTGATTTGCTTAGCTTGATTTGCTTAGCTTGATTCAAAAGCTCTCTCGCGTGGAAGGAATTCAACCTCTCATTTGATGTGCACTTACGCGCCCATCCCAACTCCAATACTCGAGGGCTTGCTTGGCTCGCTTTCCCGGTTCCTTACTTGCTTGGCCTGTTCTTTCTTTACTTCCTTGACCCAAGACTTCTCTCTTTACTACAAGCAGGTCCATTAAGCCAGGGAGTGTGGTCACTCACCTGTATTTGCCTACCGTGTTCCCTAGATATAAGCCAGTGATAGAAGGAGGAGTTATCAAACAATTATTCCAAGCCAATCAATAAAATACAAGCAAGGAAAGGAATCAAGGCAAGCCAGGCAAGCAGAACAAACCTATCTATGAATAACAAGGTGAAAGAGCTCAGTCTCGTGGTTAACAGTCACCCATCTATTCCTAGTTAGGGATCAAAAAGGGACATAGAGTATCAATCTATCGTTCTATCATATACGCGGAAAGTCTCAGACAAGCAACAGAAGGAAAGCTGTTACCTACTATTGGATTGGAGTCGAACCAATCACTAGTGCCTTATGAAAGCAATACTCTAACCACTGAGTGAAGTAGGAGGAAGACATAGAGTAGCCATTACAGTTGAGTGTTTAACACGTAGAAATTCCTATTAGTCAAGAAAGGCATAGAGTGTCCATTCCACATAGAGTATCCAGTTCAGATATCTCCAAATACTCAGAAGGAAAGAAAGACATAGAGTATCCAATCTTGAGTTCCCTCTATTATGCGGATATTATAGAATCGGCCAATCATGCATTTCAAACTCTCGCGTGTGTGTGCCCACGGGGTACCTTTATATCTTATATGCGTGTGCGAGGAAGGCAGGGGAAGCTCTCTTTACTCCTAGAGGAAGGCAGGGGAAGCTCTCTTTACTCCTATGCGTGCTTTACTTACTTGACCCATCCCTTACTCCCTCTCTTGTACTATTGTATTGCTAATACTATTGTATTGCCCTGTGTTGGCTAGCTTACCCGTCTTCCATACCTTCCTAGCAATAACAGGACCATTCAAACAAATCAGACATTCACTATAGACTCGTACGCTCATGACTTGACTCCTAGGACCTGTTTGATTCAAGCTCTAGCTCTCGTTACCTTAATTGCTTGGCTCGCTTGGCTTGGGTTTCTCTACTTGCCCTCTTCAACTCTTATTAATCAGAATGATTGACCGATCTCTTACTTTCTAGACAGGTTCCTTACCGTAATAAGATTAGAACCTTTCCTGGAGTGATTCCATCTCTCTTTAGTTCCAAATTCAGGTTCTGCACCAAACAGACCTAAACAACTACAGGTCATTTATCCAAGGACCGAACGGGGCTGAGAAAGCAGGAACTCTCTCTAAGAAATGCACTAGTTAGAAAGGACTTCCCTTTGGCCTTTCTAACCATTCAAACAGGGAATCGAGCTAATACTTCATCCCCGTAGCGGGAATCAGACCTATTAAACAAACTCACAGGCAAAGCGGGCCCTATCAATTAGCTCTAATCTTATCTTGGTTCCAAATCAAACTATGAAAGGAGATCAGCTCTCTAGTGCGTGTACGTGCCCAACCTATGGCTATACTCACAGCAGGGATAAAAGATTCCGGTTATAACAAATTCTAGTTAGGGATTAGAGCTCTCCACAGACCGGTACCATTGAAACAGGAAAGAACTCTTTCTAAGACTCTCAGCAGCAGGTCCATTAAGCCAGGGAGGAGAGCTGTCAAAGCATTGTGCGCTCTCTCGTTGGCACATACCTACGGGGACCTCCTTCCTTGCCTATAACCCATCCATCCCATGGCAGAAAGCTGGAACTGAGCTCTCTCTTGCGCATTCCTTCTACTCTCTCTTGGGCATTTCTCTATAAGGGGACAGCAGGTAAGGGGACAGCAGGTGCCTTAACTCTTTCCGGATACGCCGACCGGTGCCTTCCTTGCTCCAACCGCTCACTTGCATCGCAACCTGGTCCAATCCGGACTATGCAAGTATGATAAGTTGATCGGATGCTTTTCTTCCGGGCGTGGTCACTAGAGCCGCCTCTCGGCATTTCTCATCCTCAAGCCACATCTTTGCATAATAGTTATGTGAGTGGCCTAGCAATGAAATCCTTGAGAAATCTCCTGTAGAACCCGGTCCGCTTCGAATACCCTTTACTGAGGTCTCGAAGATCCTTCGCTTGGTCAACGAATCTCTTACTTGTTTTGAACAGTATTCTAAAGACACGTCTTACGAAAAGCAGATTTCATTTTTTGAGGAAATTCTTAAGTGGGATTCTGAAACGTATAATTACAGCTTGCACTTTTCACGAGGAACTCTCGCAATTAGCTCTACTTTCTTTCTTTCTGGTTTTGGTGTTCCGATATCTTTCGTAGGATGAGTTCGATCCATTAGGTTCTTCAATTTGTTCAGAAAAGAAACAAATATGTTACAAGAGACTTAAAGCAGCATTTAAAGCAGGAGTAAAATAAACGCTTTCAATCGATTCCTGCTGCAGACTTTCAAGTACTTGACGTACCTGAACGAGATTATTGGATTTATCGCCTAAAATAGCATCGACGGTTGAAATAAAGTTTCCGGGGGATAAATTAAGACCTCGTGTTTTAAATAATGGATCTAATATTTCGATCATCTCCCCACGTAAAAAATCCAAGGATTTATCGAAAGCCTTGGTCTCAAAATGTGAAGGTGTGACGTATCGCATTCGCGCGAGCTCTAATTGTAACGCGGTGCTGAGTGGTACTGATAATCCTATTTTATTGACAAAAATCTCAATGATCTGAGGAGGCATTGCTGCTTAGTGTTATTTTCTCTTGTTCACCCACCTTTTTTTGCGTTCTAGGGCCCTAATGCTCTTAAGGAGGGAGGAGGCCGACTTGCGCTGCTTTATAAGGGAGAGAATTTCATAAAGTCACTCTCTCTATCTATCCTTAGAAGTAGGGCGATAGAAAGTAAATATGAGATTTGCGTTGGTTTTTCCAACGAAACAAAGCATTATCATTCGGAAGGCTCAGTCCCCGAATAAAGGGGAAAAGGCTATAAGTAGGCCGTTTGCTATTGCTAGAAGGGCTGCTCGCCTTTATACGGCTTGGCTTCGCTATCGCTCCTATGTAGTGATCGGCCTCAAAAGTGGTATTCCTGCCATACAAGCCTCTTTTTTCTAGTGCTAGAAGCTTCGCCAGAAGCAAGCAAGACGAGGGAGCGGAGCTTCGTAGACAAGGCTCGTTACGTACTTGACTGACGAGCTGTCTACTAAACGAGCGTTAGAGCGAGCGAGTGAAGCCTCTAAAGTTTGATAGCTCTTCCCCCTCCCTCACCTTACTCTTCAATTTCCGCTTAAGCTTCCCCGGTTTGGGGGATTAATTGATTGGATACCCGAGAACCATAATCTTTCCTAGGAACAGCTTCTACGACGATAGATAGGGGTCAGCTTTCTTTGGCATCTATGATGCCCCCTGCCCTCCAAACAGTATGGGAGCCTTTCAGCTCGTACTGCTCACACTCCTAGATCTTCACGGCACCTCCTCCACCATAGTGTGAGCTGCTCCCAGCGGAGAAAAAGCAAGGCCTACTTCGAAATTCGCTTTCAACAACGTCAACAACACCACGAAAAAAGTCAACAATGGTTGCCCACTAATCTGATCATAGGTGAAATCCAATCCCTTCGCTTCGCGCCAGGCTTTGAAACCGTAAGTCAGGCGCCTTCGGCCCTCTCCTTTCAGTCGAGTTGCTAAAGCACCTCTCGGAAGCGAGAAAGCGAGCAGCAAGCTGAAAAAAGGGGAAAGTGGTTTTAGAAAGAAAAATAAGCTAAGGGGGCTGGCTAGGAATCGCAAGAATTGAGAAGGGTGGGAAAGAAAGGTTCGGAAATGGCCGGATTAGCAGGAGGAAGGTCTTGAAGAGCCTGAAACAAAGAAAGGTGTACATCAGCTGGTTATGGCCTTTACTTGATAGGACTCCTTTCCCATCTATCTTGACCGGGAAGAGGGGATCAAAAACCTTACGGAAGCCCTGCCCCCCTTCTGGATCCCTCATATTGATGATTCCAGGCTTCCCGGACTCGTAATAGACGGCTAAGAACAAGAAGAGGGTCAGTAGTCTCTGCCGTTGCAGGTCCTTCTCCTTCCGCTGAGACGGCCCTCTTTTTTTTGTTTGTTCACCGCGGCACGAAATCATGAAGAAGCTGGAATCACTCAGAAAGAGAGTGGCGCCTAGCCGTTGAGAGCGTCTATTATCTTTGTAGAGGAACAGTACGATCTTGGACTGGCCCCCTTCGCATGACCTAGAAAGATCAAAAAGTCCATGCTACTATAAGGCCTCTAAACTCCTCCCTCAGGACACTATTGCGTTGCCCATGGGGACGGGGTAGCCCCGACTTCCATAGGTCCTTGGTTCGACCTCCTAATGAGAATTGAGGTCCTTGCGCGGGCGTCTCATCCCTAAGACTTGCTTGCTCTGTATGGAGTGCCCTGTGGTTCCTCGAGTGCCAGCCGCAGAGAGGAATGCCATCAACTAGGGCGCTATTGGCCACTAACCACTCGCTCGCCAGCCGCTCGGGCTCCGCGTTTCAAGTTCGTTATCCTAACCGTCCCCTCTGCTCCACCGGGTGCCTGGCCCCTTCTTCTATCTTATCTACTGCCTTGCTCCTCGGCTCCCTACAGCTCCAGCCGCTCGCTGTAATAGCTTGCTTCTCGGGTGGCTCGCACCCCCGGGTGGTGCGGCTGAGCCAGAGTGGGCTCAACAGTCGGCCTATGTTTCCGGGCGCACGCGTAAAGGCATGATTAGTTCCGCAAATCTCACTGCACTGACCATAGTAAACTCCTTCTCGTTGTACCAAAATAGAGATTTGATTTAAACGACCAGGTACAGCATCACATTTGACACCTGAGGAAGGTACAGCCCAACTATGAGGTACATCAGCAGATGTTACAATAATACGTAGATGAGTTTTGGCTGGTACAACCACTCTATTGTCCACTTCTAATAAACGTGATTGACCCAATTCTAGATCTTCTTCTGGAATCATATAACTGTCAAAAGTGAGTGACTGCTCATCGGAACTGTTATAGTCAGAATACTCATAAGTCCGATACCATTGATGTCCAATAGCTTTAATAGTAATGGCTGGATCTACTACTACCTCGTCCATTGAGTATAAGAGAGCAAATGATGGTATAGCAATGAACATCGAGATGAGACTAGGAAAGATGGTCCGAAGAATCTCGATAGTAGTTCCATGAACAATCCTTTGCGGGATTGCATTTTCTTTATAGTGGAAATGCCATAAAGCGCGAACCAAGATCCATAATACGAAAACCAAAATCACAATGAGGAAGAAAAAGATATCGTGATGTAAGTCTATTATTCCTTGCATTATAGGTGTAGCTGCGTCTTGAGATCCTAATTGCCATGGTTCCGCTGCATCACAAGGAGAAATTGTGAGGAATAACCATTTTAGAACAATCATTTTCAAAGCAAAGGTTCCTTCATTGACTGCTCTGCTCCCCCCCAAACAAAGAGAGACTGATTCTGACTCTCCCAATTAAGGAAGACGGAAATGGCTGGTGCCGGTTGGTCCAACCAAGAAAAAAAAAGATGGGAATTTTGGGCGTAAGATTCTTCTTCTTCTTACAATATTTTGAGTTAGGTTTCATAAGAATCTCTATTTCTTTGCTTTAGCCTAACCAGTGGTTGGTTTCCCGTCCTACCTGGGAACATGTGCACAAACAATCTATCTATATAGAACACAGGGCACGCTCAAGAGAGCTATCCGCCTTCCTTTGCTTTCCTTGCTTAACACTTTGCTAATCGTCTGTTTGCTGCTCATCCAACTATCTATCTATCTCTTTGTCCGAGGTGGTTATTCCCTACCCCTGTCTCGTACATCAGTGTGCTCCACTAGGAATACGGCTAACGCATTACTCCCTAGCTAGTCTAAGAACTACAAACCAGCTTCACAGCAGTGTGCTATTACCAAAACATACTAGCCTGGCTTATCCATCTCATCTCAGATGCCTTTGATCTGCCTTTAATCGATTGATGTGCTGCTGCAAAGGGCGGAAAAGTCTCATCTGCTCTCTTCAGTTAAGGTGTCCACGATACGAATACCTCTTTCCTCTAAATACCTATTTCCTTTTCCCAGTCTTTTGTGCTGTAACAGCAGTCGCATCTAGAATATCGAATCTAGCTCTTAGCTGGTCTAGTCCAACCCCTCTTCTGTCTGATGACAATCGGGAATACCTTGCTAGCGAAGTAAGCAATCAAAGGGATGCCATTAGTTTGATTCAAAGGCATATCTATAGGATAGCCTCTGTTTCCGACGGTACTTTAAGAAACTGGAATTCCTTTAGTAAGATAGCTCATGAATGAAGCTTTCAAACCACTTCCTAATTTCAGGAGTTTTGGAGTACATATTAGTTCATGAGTGCATGAGTCAATGTGCCCGCTGTGGTGTATGAGCAAGTGATCTGATCCTATGCGCCTTTCTCCTGGTTATCCCATTCCTTGGCTTACATGGGAAAGACTAACCTCCCATTCTGACTTTCCTTCCCCTTAAAGGTAAGCTCTCATTTGTCCAACACACCGAATACTGTCCTTTCCTTCTTTTACCAACTTGTTGTCGAGTTGCTGATACGTTCGTTGAACAGCAACAGCCTACATAGCCCGTCTCCTTCTTTTCAAGGAAGAAAGCATCAGACACATCTGTAGTTCTAGGTCTTTTTCCTTTCTGTTTCTATTGCTTAGTCAGCATCTGATCAAGACAGAGAGCGAGTTTACGAACAGAGAAATGGTATAGGGTTAGGG